ATTTTTTATTGTCTTTTTTGTCCGAACACCGTGGCATCTCAAGTCTTTCCTTCTAGAAGTGTATTCAAGGGCGAGTGGTGCTCCGGTTATATCCCGTTCTTAGGAGGTGATTAACTCCGAATTTCTCATCCTCCACAACCTCGCCTTCGTTGCTGAAGTAACTTCTCCCTACTGTAATCGCCAGAAAATCTAGATCGTTTTCCTGCTTCCCACATCCTGCCAGCCCAGCCTACATCATCCCCTATTGTAACCCAGCCACCAACCCTCCTTCCCTGTTGTAACCCCATTGTCTGCCCTCATCTGTTTCTGGAAAAAGCCATTTGGTTGTCCTTCCATCATACAATCATCCATAACTTTTACTTCCCCCTCAAACCTTAGCACCACACCCCGATCCACCTATTTTTGTATCGTTATTTTCCTATTTTCAAGTGTCTTAGTTGTAACTCTTTTCGAATTTTAGCAATAATATTTTCATTCCGATACGGATTTTAGTTCACTCCAATTTCACACACACACATATGACAAATCTTCACAGGCAAGGATGTTATCTGCGGGTCATCCTAATTAATAAACAAATATGATAATTTGATTTTCTTATCCGACAGACCTGCCATCCTAAACATGTTTCTTTCTTTCCCAGTTTTCACTCGATCAGAAAAATTTTTGACAAGCCATAACTACTAGGACTTCGGACTTGACAGGTTATTCTCAACACAAATAGAGATGTAATTAAGTGGGCTGGCCCAAGTGTTATTTGAATTCAAAAAAATAGTTGCAACAAGTTCTCAGCTCAAATGAAACGTGGTTGAAAAAAGCTCCTTAGGTCATAGAGAACAAGTTCACAGCAATTGTTCATCAACCGATTTTTCTTGTGGCTTCACGAACTAAGAGTGTGGAACCTCTAGAAGTAATCATTATTAGGTTATCCAAAATTGCTGTATTATTGTTTATTAAGTATAATTATCATTTTAGGACTCTTATGAAAAGAGTGAGGGTAATAGCAAAAATAAAAAAGTTCCCGGGGCATGGAAGTAGGATAGCCTCCAAGAATGCAATGAAGGATTTTAGTTGTTCGGGGTCTAAAGTTAAAATTATTAATCTATTCAAGCCTACAAAGATTGCATATTAGTGAATGCCAATTGAGAAGGTCACTAAATTTATTTGGGCTGCTGTAAATTTTCCAGGCAAATTGGATCTGACGGTGAATCTGGGTCATTGTTAAAATGCCATTTTTCTAAAAAGAATGTCAGAAAATAACATTCATTACATGAATAACTGCCTTTTTTACAGTCTAATTTGATCTATGGCTAATGCTGCTTTGAAACCCGACGTGAAAAGCTCAGTAACGTTACAGATATGGAAAAAAAAATCAGATATACGACAAGGTGGGAAAGAATAAAAATAAAACAAACTTAGGGATGTGTCAATGTTTAGCAATGTTGTTGTACAGATTGTCAGGGCTGAGTGGTATCAAACATGCTTCTGAATATTTCAATTTTCAAGAAAATTTGATGCTATACTAGAAAGCATATCCTAACAACCCTGCAAATTTCATTCAAATACATCACAAAAAAAAGAAAAAAAACAGATAGATACACAAATGCAAATAAAAGGCCCCCGACCATGTACTCAAGAAAAGTATGTAAAAAGCCTGATTATAATTTATCATGATGTAGAGAGCTATGAAAATACTAAAGAAAATCCAGAAGTCTAAAAGAGTATCAAAATTAGACTATAAGATAGCTCAATCAAACCTTCGAAACTAAAAAGAATTATAATCCAGAAAAGATCGCCATTCTTTGGATAACTAAAATAATTATATTGAAATTCAAAAGTCCGCATAATATAAGTAGATCACAAGTTGTCAAATGTAAACTTAACCTTGATGACACCACGACAGAAGAGCATCTCAACTACTTCCTTCACAATTGGAAGAAGACCAGCATGGTGCACCCCAATACCCCTCCGTAGCAGGCTTTGAACTCGAACAATCTGCAATGTGAGTCCACATAACATGGCAGCTGTCAAGAGCAACTTTTGATGGAAGACAGTTATATCCTCAAATAAATGAAGCAATAGACCAAAAGCTCTCTTTTTCTACTAGTAAAGTTAAGCTGCTCTGTGTGATGCTTACAAACTCAGCAGTAATACCTGAGGTAGGTTTCTGTCAGAACCTTTCAATCGTGAAAAAGCCTTGTCACAAAATATACGAATCTCACTTTTTTCAGAACTACTGGTAAGGTCCATACTGGTCATGTTATCAGCTGATTTGTCACAACGATTCTTTGAGAAGCAGAAGATAACCACCTGAAAAAGAAAGCAGTAGATTAAAAGGGGGCCATATATAAAATAAACACCTAAATTTGGAAAGATTGATGCACCACGCAGGTACATCGCCAAACATCATCAAATTTAAGCCATTTTCACGTGCTTGTAATGGATCTCATGGCAGGACAAGTAATAACGTGCACAAATAGAACATCCAAAAAACAAATCAAAGATTTCTGGCATCAAGTCCATTTCTCCAGCAAATTTTATTAGGGCTATTTAAACAAAGAACTGCAACTAAAAAAATTATTAAAGCAAAGATTTTTACTGTGTCATCAAAGTACACACAGGCAAAAGGGATTTTTTCAATAGCTTGTGTATCAGCAACAACCAAAAAGAAGATTCTGATTTCCTCTGTCCCCAATTACTTTGATTTGCTCCACTAGTTCCAGGAAAGTTGATTGCAGATTGAGATCTTGGGTGCTTCTGTCCTTTTACACTACCAAAATTTTCCCGTTGCCGAGATTGATTTGCACCATGTCCACCACCCAAGTATGTCCCAGAACTACTTGCAGACAAACCAGAATTCTTTTTCTTATGCACCTCCTTAGCTGCCCTAAAGGCTTGAGGCAGAAAAACCTCATTGTCACCTACTCTATATAATTCTCCAGAGTAAAATAAACAGTGCTCGAGGGGGACAGGTCTTTTTGATGTCCTGATAGACAATGCAAGAAAAAGACAACAAATCAAAGTCACCATACTATATAAATAGCAAAATAATAAGAGCTTTTGCTTATTCTTATTCACAAGAACGTTTAAGAAAAAAATACAGCAATGCAACTAAAGAAATGACCGAATAACAAATAATTTAAAAATATCTTTCTAAAAGTTAATCATTACCCCAGAACACGAATTTTCTTTTGCTTTGTGCGACCAATCCAATCAGCAAATTCAGTTGTGTTTGGCACCTAACACATTCCGAGCAACTTACATGTGAGGGAATCAACATGGAACGGCAGGCAAAAGAGAATGTGGATCAGGTGTTAAAACTGCAAATTTATTTTCCAAAAGAACAAACATACAGTGGCTGAAAGTAGAACAATGTTAACATGTCTTGGTAGCATGATGATCACCTCCTCCCACACCACGCCTCTTTCAGCATCATTAACATAATGAACTTCATCAAATATAACCTTTTGAAGGGATAAATAAACAAAATCAACAAAATAATTAGCACATATAACATGAAAAGTATTGCAAATAGTACAAAAGTCATACAATAAACTGCAAAGTTCATTTACCCATTCAATATCACGAATTATGTCAGCACCTCTATAAAGCATTGACCGCAAGATCTCAGTAGTCATGATAAGGCATGATGCCTCCGGTCTCAAGCTAATATCACCTGTTAGAAGGCCTACATCAAATTTGGTGCAAAAATCTCTATATTTCTGATTGCTGATGGTTTTTATAGGAGCAGTGTAGACAGCACGAGTACAATGCTGCACGAAACAAGCACTTAATGACGAAGACAAGCAATAAAAATCATACATAACCATATAAAAGCATGTCAAATTAAAGTAAGAAACATTAGAAATAAAATCTAGTAACAAGAATCAAATTAGCGATAGCCATAAACGAAAATTATCTGACCATCCTAAGATATCAATATGAAATTCCTAATGGTTGAAAGGCTGTGTGTAGTAAATGAATAATTGCTCATATGTCATGTTTACGAAAGCAGGAATAACCTCAAGAGAAACAGATCAGAAACAATAAATTACTGCCAATACAAAAAGGCAGAAAGCTCTGGTGATTCTGCTTCAATAAGGAACAACTTCTTTTAATGTGACTGTTATGAAGTGGCAGAACCTCAATAGCAGATGTGAGCACAACTGTTTGTTTGGTTGAAACTTGGTGAAAATGAGTTCTCATTCTTGGAACTGACTTTTAAAAAGTAGAGAAGCTTCAATCTTGAAGGCTAACTGTTAATAAGCCGCCTTAAACTTTCTTAATGAAATAATTGATTAGAATATTAACACTGCAAAATCATCATGATTAAATAAATCCGGATTATTAGATTTTGTCAAAATCGATCTTTGTAACGTGTCTACCTAGTTCTTGCACATATTTTAATTATTTTATGATTTAAGTTTTAATTAAATAATAAGGTTACACAATTAGCCATAATATTGCGAGATGCTTTTAATAAGCATTACGTCCTATAAAAGGGAATAATGATAAATGACTGAATGTTTCAATTAAAGAAAGCATTGAAATTTCATTTCTCACCCCTAAACGTTGTAAACTAGTATTAGAGCCTCTTTTATCCTTCTTTGCTCATCCAAATGTAAATCTTCTTCCACACATCCTCTCAAATGCTTATGACCCGTCATTAAATAGAGTTGTCTTGTCCATCTGTTTCTACTCTGTAATGGTCCACCATAACTACAAGTCCATGTGTGAGCGTACCATTTTCCTAGCCCGGATTGTGATCTCATTTGCATGTGCCTTCTGCAAATCATTCTTGCTTTCATCAATGACCTCAACCCAATCTCCTAGAGTTGTCTTGTGCATTAAAGATAAATGACTGAATGTCTCCCATGCTATATTCAAATGCTATATGTCTCCTTATTTCCTACCTCAAAATCCCCATCCACAAGCCATCATGCTTCTTACCTACATATCTCCGTATCCCTACCGCAAAAGCCCTAGAACTATAAAAAGAGAATGACAATCATTAATTGAATAATTTGGTTTACTAAAATAATTCATGTCCATTTCTCCTCTCTATCTCTCTCTCACAACATGTTAAGTAATTTTACTACTAATAATAAAATAATGAGAAAATAATACCAAGGTTACTAAACATGAAACTCATTGTGACATAAAAAAACACAAAAATTAATTTCACAAGAAATGAGTTCATACAACTCACTAATGAAACAAACTGGCGTTAAATAAAAAACAGATAAATATAAAATAGTTTACATTTAAGAAATCATACCTTTGATGCTAATGCAAAAGCGTACTCTGCAACAACTGTCTTTCCAGCTGATGTATGAGCTGCTACAAATACAGACTCACCCTTTTCCAGATAGTATATAGCCTGTATATATTGGATTGTTCATAACTAAGGAAATATCAATCTTTATAAATAGAAGATAATTAATGTAAATTTTTATAATCCAATTATAAAACTTGCAAATGTAATAAGCAATTGGCAGACAGTAACCTTAAGTTGAAGGCAATGGCATAAAGAAGAAATTACTCGTAACAATCTCTTGTGATTATTATTATTATATGTGTACACAACATACCAGTATTAAATAAAAATAAAAAAGTTGAATTTGAAGGAAAACCAAAACAACAATGACAAGTTGATATAAGAGATATGATCGCCCTTATATAGTCAAATTATCTACAACTATAAAATAATAGCTTGTTCATTATGATCAAATGTACCAATGTTCACTAGCTCAAGCAATATGTTGTTTTATTCCATGATAAAGGTCAGAAGTTCAAGCTTCAACTCAAGTGGTATGATCCTTTAAACTGCACGTATATAGAGCAGTACATTTTATGGCTCATATGTGGAGTTCATGAGTCTATAACTCGCTTTGTACAATACCTGTGGAATTACGCTCCTCATTATTATTTACTTTAATTCTATTTAATACTTGCTATATTTAAGTCATAATATAAAAATGATAATTCCTTAATTATTGGTATTTATGTTTATTCCATAATTATAGGAATTACTTTATTGTAGGAAGATTTTTTTCCTCTTTTTGTTTCTCTTGTACTCACTTATTTATAGGTGAATTATCTATGTATTCAAGTGACAAAAACATTATTCAAAATTCACATGGTATCAGAGACATCGAAGAGTCATCGAGGGAAAGCTTCTCCCGCTCGGCTTGATCACAGCCTTCTCTCCCGCGATCGTTTTTTCCTGAGCGCTGCTCCTGCGCCTGCTCTCTCCGCTGCTCTCGCCTGCTCTCTCCCGCGATCGTTTTTTCCCGATCATCCAAGCGCCAGTTCCAGCACCTGTTCGGATCCGCGTCCACGTCCGAGGACTATCCGAGCGCCTGTTCGGATCCGCATCCGCGTCCGAGGCCGAGGACGATCCGAGCGCCTGTTCCGAGTCCGCGTCCGAGCACCTGTTCCGCGTCCGCGTCTGAAGACGATCCGAGCGTCTCTCTCGACCGCATCCGAGCGCACGCACATCTCCCGCGATTGTCTGCACCTAAGCACCGACGCTTCTTCCGTGATCGAGCACAGACAGATTTAGCCTCTGGTCATTCTGCTGGCCACCTCTCCTCTCCAATGACTAAGTACGGTCACGCCTGCAACTCCTCCACTAGTGATGTCACTTCTAGCCACCCCTCCGCGGATGGGTCACCATTACCCAGCAATTATTACAATAATTCTATCCTCATCACCAGCCATAAACTCACCGGTCAGAATTATCTCCAATGGTCGCAGTCAGTCATGATGTTTGTATGCGGCAAAGGCAAAGATGACTACCTCACTGGTGATGCTCCAGCTCTGATGACGACAGGTCCGTCATACAAGACTTGAAAATCCGAGAATAATATAATTATGGCCTGACTTGTTAACTCGATGACACTTGATATTGGTAAAAAATTTCTTCTCTATGGCACGGCTAAGAAAATCTGAGATGCTGCCCGTGAGACCTATTCTAGTGCGGACAATACAAACGAACTATTTGTTGTTGAGACCATTCTTCATGACTTTCGTCAAGGTGATCTCTCCGTCACCCAATACTTCAATACTCTTACTCGGCATTGGCAGCAAGTAGATATATTCGAGTACCCTTGGAAGTGTCCTGAAGACTCTGTCATATTCACCATTACCCAGCAATTATTACAATAATTCTATCCTCATCACCAGCCATAAACTCACCGGTCAGAATTATCTCCAATGGTCGCAGTCAGTCATGATGTTTGTATGCGGCAAAGGCAAAGATGACTACCTCACTGGTGATGCTCCAGCTCTGATGACGACAGGTCCGTCATACAAGACTTGAAAATCCGAGAATAATATAATTATGGCCTGACTTGTTAACTCGATGACACTTGATATTGGTAAAAAATTTCTTCTCTATGGCACGGCTAAGAAAATCTGAGATGCTGCCCGTGAGACCTATTCTAGTGCGGACAATACAAACGAACTATTTGTTGTTGAGACCATTCTTCATGACTTTCGTCAAGGTGATCTCTCCGTCACCCAATACTTCAATACTCTTACTCGGCATTGGCAGCAAGTAGATATATTCGAGTACCCTTGGAAGTGTCCTGAAGACTCTGTCATATTTTGCCTAATCATAGAACAGAAACGCACCTTCAAATTTCTTCTCGGCCTCAAATCTGAGTTTGACCAGACTCACTCATGGATTTTGAATTTGAAACCTCTTCCAACAATTCGTGAAGTTTTCTCCGACACACGCCGCGAAAAGAGTCGTCTAAAGGTCATGTTAGGTGCTTCCTTGTCCACTACAGCCCTCGACGGGTCTGCACTTGCTGCTCATATTCCATCCACAGACAATCGCCAACTCCAAGACTGCCCTTGGTGTGACCACTATCGCCGTTCTGGTCATACTCGGGATACGTGTTGACGGATTCATGGCAAAACCGCCAATGGGAAACACAAACAGGATCATCCATCGGGCAGCTGCCACCAGCACCACCGAAGCCTCTCTAGGAATGAGCCCATTCAACGAAGAACGGATTCATGCCCTCCAGAAGTTGCTCTGTCAGCTGACACCAGTCCAACCTACTAGTGTGGCATCGGGTGCCACCGGCCTTGTTACCTATCAAGGTATTTTCTCATCCGCTTTCGTCTTAGATTCAACCTCTTCTCGCTTTTAGATTGGTGACTCAGGTGCCTCCGATCATATGACCGGGGATGTCTCTTTGTTAATGGATTACCGGCCGTGTAATTCGACCCTCACTGTTCAGATTGCTGATGGATCAGCCTCCAAAGTTGTTGGTCTTGGTTGTTTGTCCGCATCTCTCCAGATTTATTCCTCACTTCTGTGCTTCATGTTCCTACTTTGGATTGCAATCTGATCTCTATTAGTAAGCTATTGTGTTGCTAAATTTTTTTCATATGTTTGTGAATTTCAGGATTTGAAGTCGGGGAGGATGATTGACAGTGCTGAGTTGCGCAGTGGTCTCTATCTCCTCAACAAACCCTCTGTCAGTCTCGTCTCACCCACCAGTTGTATTTCAGTATCAATTCTGTCTTGCTTAAATCCGCTTAGTACTTCTGTGTTCCATTCCAACGTTAATAATGAGAGTGAAATCATGTTACTTCATTATCGTTTAGGTCATCCCAATTTTATGTATCTGGGGAAACTGTTTCCTCATTTATTTATTAATAAAAGTCCTACATCTTTTAATTGCGAATTTTGTCAACTTGCCAAACACACTCGTAGTTCATTTCCTCGATTATCATACATACCCACTCGTCCCTTTTCTCTGACCCATAGTGACGTTTGGGGTCCTCGTGAAAAAAATATTTTTGGGGCCCAATGGTTCGTGTCTTTTATTGATGATCACACACGGGTGACATTGATGATCTATCTTATGAGTGACAAATCCGAGGTAGGACCAATATTTTGTGCATTCTATCAAATGATACTCACTCAATTTGACACAAAAATCCAGGCTCTCAAAACAGATAATGCACGAGATTTTTTCAACACCTCCTTAGGAACATTTCTCACCTTAACACGTGTGTTGATACTCCCCAACAAAATAGGGTTGTCGAGCGGAAAAATCGTCACTTGTTGGAGGTAGCCTGTTGTCTCATGTTTACCACATCGGTCCCTAAACGTTATTGGAGCGAGGCAACAATGATCGCTGCCTACCTCATAAATCGGATGCCCTCTCGTATTCTGAGTTTTCGTAGTCCAATCGATGTCCTCCTTCGCTCCTTTCCAAATACCTGTACACTCTCTTCAGTTGTCCCTACCAAACTATTTGGTTGCTCCGTCTTTGTTCATATTCACAAACAACACCGCAGTAAATTAGACCCCAAATCTGTCAAATGCATATTCATAGGGTATTCAACCAACAAAAAAGGCTACAAGTGTTATTGTCCTTCAACTAAAAAGATCTATAACTCTATGGATGTCACATTTTAGCATCAATTATATTTTTAGCATCAATTATACTACCAAGAGTGTCATTCAGGGGGAGAGTAGTCATAGTGAACAACAACCATGTGTTCCTTTACCAATTGACACGAGTCCCTCATCGACTGTCAAACCTCCTCCATCTCCTATTCAACCTCCCCAGTCTACACAACCCACTCCACTTCTCAGGTTCTTTGGGTCTATACAAGACGAAACAAAACTGCTGAAAGAATAGAGAACCTAACACCGCTTCCAGCTGCTGTCCAAGAATTTAATCTGGCTCCAAAACCCTCTGAAACTCACTCAAGTACGGAATGTATACACTAGTGATTATGAGCTTACCCCACCTGTGAAAGATGATTCTGATGTTCCTTGTACTCAACATCCTATTGCTCGATTTGTTTCATATGAGAGGTTATCTCCTCCATATCATGCATTTGTTACTGCTATTGACAGCATAAAGGTTCCGAATTCTATTCAGGAAGCTCTCTCACGCCCGGAATGGAGAAAAGCTGTGAATGAAGAAGTTGCTGCACTAAAAAAGAGTGGAACGTAGATTGTGTCTGATTTGCCCAAGGATACGAGACCAGTAGGATGCAGGTGGTTATTTACAATCAAATGTAAGGCAGACGGAAGCATAGATCGGTTAAAAGCCCGACTGGTTGCAAAAAGTTATACTCAGTTATACGGAAGTGACTATCAAGAGACATTTGCCCCAGTAGCCAAACTGAACTCCATTAGAAACCTACTCTCCATTGCAGCAAACTGAGACTGGTCCCTTATGCAACTTGATGTCAAAAATGCATTCCTTAATGGAGATCTTGAAGAGGATGTATACATGGATTTATCGCCTGGTCTTGAAGGGTCCTTCCCTAGTGGCAAAGTATGCAAGCTCCAGAAATCTCTGTATGGTCTCAAACAATCTCCCCGTGCTTGGTTTGCCAGACTCACCAATTTCGTACTCAAGTGCGGTTATACTCAAAGTCAGGTTGATCATACAATGTTCACAAAAAGATCCGAGAAGAATATTAATGTACTTATTGTGTATGTGGATGACATCATTTTTACCGGTGATCACACTGAAGAATTGACAAAGCTGAAGAAGTCCCTAGCCCATGATTTCGAAATTAAGGACCTCGGAGACTTGAAGTTCTTCTTGGGAATGAAAGTTGCAAGATTCAAAATGGGGATAGCTGTAACTCAAAGGAAGTACACATTGGACCTATTGAAAGAAACCGACATGCTTGGATGCAAACCAATAGATACTCCAATAGACCCGTATAAAAAGATTGGAATGGAGAATGATAGTTTACCTGTCGACAAAGGAAGATATCAGCGGCTTGTTGGAAGACTTATTTACTTATCCCACATCAGACCAGACATAAGTTTTTCAGTAAGTATAGTAAGCTCATGAACTGTCCTACTGAGAAACATATGAGAGTTGTCAACCGTATCTTAAGATACTTAAAGATGACACCTGAGAAAGGATTATTATTCAAAAGGAATGATAGTCAAGCGGTAGAAGTCTTTACTGATGCTGACTGGGCAGGAGATATATCCACCCGACGATCAACCTCTGGGTATTACTCTTATGTATGGCGCAATCTAGTGACATGGAGAAGCAAGAAGCAATCGGTGGTATCTCGGAGTAGTGCAGAAGCAGAATACAGAGCACTGGCACTTTGTATCTGTGAAGGAATGTGGATCAAAAGATTTCTCAAGGAGCTTGGAATTATGGGAGAAAATCCTATCAAGATGTTCTGTGACAATCAAACTGCAATCAGTATCGCAAAGAATCATGTTCATCATGATCGAACGAAACACATTGAGATTGATCGGAATTTCATTTCAGAGAAGATGGACAATGGAATCATTGAATTGATCTATACTTCTTCTAGAGACCAAACTGCAGACATTCTCACCAAGGCTCTCCCTAAGTCCAGTTTTGATGAGCTAAACCAACAAGTTGGGCATGTACAATCTGCACAACCCACCTTGAGAGGGAGTGTGGAATTACGCTCTTCATTATTATTTACTTTAATTCTATTTAATACTTGTTATATTTAAGTCATAATATAAAAATGGTAATTCCTTAATTATTGATATTTATGTTTATTCCATAATTATAGGAATTACTTTATTGTAGGAAGATTTCTTTCCTCTTTTTGTTTCTCTTGTACTCACCTATTTATAGGTGAATTGTAGGAAGTATTCAAGTGAGAAAAGCATTATTCAAAATTCACAATACCCGTCTTACATAAAGTACATATGGTAAATTCCTATGCTTAAGAAAATAAAAAGTGTGTTCGAATATATCACAATTGTATTTTAGCAAAGATTGGAGAATCGAACCAAGCATCCTCTTGATGTGAACTGTTTCTAACTAAGTATTACTCATGAATTTATAAGCTCACATTTTAAAATGTGTGGCCATTGTGACTAACTTTAAGATTAACTTCATAATACTTCAAAAAAAAAAACTTCACTTAGATAGGTCACCAATCAACTCCCACAACAAAGTATAATTAAGATTACAAAAAAAAAATCCTATGTGCTGCCAATTGAAAAGAACAATCCGTATGTTTGTGTTCAACTATTTAGCCTCATATTCAACCATTTAGCCTTCCCAAAAATGCAAGTCAACAAGCACCTACTCTCTAATGGGTATGGAAAAACCACCTGTCTGGAAAAAAGCAACCGTTTACTGTTTATATACATGGATAAACAAACCATGAAGAAACAAAACAATCTACATTCAAGGGTAAGTCTGCAAAGCATTCATGCCCATCCACAACACACAATTCTTTATGAATCTCCCCAGCACAAGTACTAAGGCTACTTCCCTAGAGCTGTCACATCATAGTAAAATTCAGCAAACCAAAAGTCAATCTTAGAGCTTCTATACCATTTGCTTAAGGGCATAAAAAAAAATTGCTCAAAGTATGATTTGCACACATATGAGGAAAATAAAAAAAGGGATAAGTTAAGCCAACTGATGACAATCTATCATAACTATATCAAAACGCAATTAAATGCTCTGTTCCCAGAAGCAGAAGAAAGTAAATGAGACTTTGACAGCAAGAATGGCCTAACAAAATTAGTTGAAGCAATCACTATCGCATGAAAACCCAATGCACAAATTAGAGGTAACTTAAAAGAAGTCAATTTAAACCATTAATCTTGATTTTGTTTAAACTAGCTCCTAGCAATTCTCATTCATATTTCACGAATCTAGAGAACCGAACATGAACTCATAATAATTCCTTCTGTCTCTTTGATAGCAGGAAAAAATATTTAAAGTTCATTCAAAATTGCACTTCTTCCAAATCAAAAAGCAACACTGAACTCACTGTCCTTATTTCAGAATTTCTGGGACAGTATAACTAACATAACTATTTTTTGAAAATTCTAAGCTGCTTCAAACCAGTGCCCTTAAACCATCTATGGTCTAGTATCCAAAACTGCAAAAAAAATACCAGGTCAAGACACCATGAAAACCCTGCATTGGCTGCAACTCAAGCTAGATGCAAACAGCAACATTAACCAATACTCTGCACACAAAATTCTAAAGTTTGAAAAACAAAGCCTAAGCTTCTTGGAGATAAAGTCAGAAGAGCGTGTGCCAAAGAAAAGTACCATGATAATCTTTTAAGTATTATTTTTCCATACAAGCAAGAGGGGCAACTGTGATCACTAAAGACCAAATTAAGCTGAAATTGTGCTTCAAATAATAATATTAAAACAAAATAATGTGGAATAAAATAACTATCAACTCAACTCATACCTCCTTCTGAAATTTATCCAACTGAAACGGAAAATCGAGTGCCATTTCAGGAACAAGCTCATGAAATCGATTAGCAATCTCATCATTGCCACCTGGAGAAGCCCACACCTGCATGAAGTAATCAATAGTATACTTTTCCAATTACAGCAGAAGTAGAAACCAAACCCTCAATATGAATGCCGCATTAACAAAGTGGGCTAGAATACCATTTCCAGAAGGAAAATAACATGAATAACTGAAAAGTTAATAGTGCTCATGAGAATAAATTATGGATCACTTCAACAAAGGAGTCCACTACATTGGTTTCTAAGTAAAGTAATGGAAGCAGTTTTTCCTGTCAGTGATCGATCTACAAGATGTCATGAAGAATCTGAACGTTCATGTAAATAAGAATACAAATAACAGCTTCTGGGGTCACATCGAGAAAAAATAAAGCTAACAACACCTGTAGAAATCACCATTTAATAATCATGTTCTCAAAATTCATCTCTACAACGCTAAATGAGATCTCAAAATATTAAGATATGCATTTTGATGATATCTAACCTAGAAGTATGAGATGGCCATGTCATACCTCGCTTTCCTTCTGCCTCTTCACCTCAACTATTTCACTCGATATTGTTTTCACTTCCACAGGTTCAGCAAGCAGTATGTTCAGTGTCATCTCTAGAAACATTAGTCAAAGCCGCCTCTATTTGAACTTCTGACTCCATCAAACCTGGACTTCTAATCATTTAGTATATATGTGTAAAGCAGTGCAAAAGAAAAATTTTGATATTCAAAATATTTATGGCAATTCAAATCAATTCCTTGCATCAAATATTATTTCTTTATCAGCATGTAAAATTTTGGTGATGGGAAATGATAAACAAGAGCAAATAAAACATGTTGCACTTGAAAGTATCTAACATTTTTAAAAGAAAGTGGGAATCAATTAAGGATCCCATGTTAAGAGAAAGTAAACAAAAGAACTACAAGCAACACACAAAAGCTGCGAATGCGGTAAAGCCATGTTACAGGAAGTATGTGGAAAAAAATCCCACAAGCAGAAAATGAAGCTTTGTGAACCCGTGTGTAGGAATAAACTAAATGATGATCTAATGATAAATAAAACTACACAGAAGCTCCAAAAAAACCATGCAATATGTCATTCTGCTCATTATTCCTCGGCAATAACAGCCATCTCAAATCCCTTGTTGATCCTATGTAAGAAGGTTACATTTCCTACAGCAAAAAGTTCTATAAAACATGCCTTCAAAAATAATATAAACAAACAGTGTAAATGTTTAACTTTTAGTTGGATATTGTCTTTATCACGAGTTTACGGGGTTCATGTCCAGAAAAGGCAAAATTCATATGACTGGTGCAGATCATCAAGAGACTTCAAGATGTTAGTGTAGGACTTTTTCATGCTAGAAAGGTTCTCCAAATATAGTTAGAGGCATAGGTCAATGTCATCATCATTCTTGGATCATTATATTAATTTCCTTACTATAATAAAAAGGTTCTCTAGTGAACGAGGAGAGCACTAAACAATTAGAAAAATTAAATAGATGATTTGGCATATTCATAACCACCTGATGAGAAAGATGATAATTTGTATCTGAAATGCAAATATTTGTTTGGCTATGACGTAGACAGGTCCTGGAGAGAATAAATAATTCAAAGTTACTAAAACCGAATTTAGAAGAAATTCCTTAGTTTCTTTGAATAATCATATAGCTTAGGAAACAAAACTGTTTCGTACATTGGACTGACCTGAGTAGATTTTGCACAATTTGGAAAAATAAATAGCAGATTACAATGACAACAAGTTTTGCACCGAACATATAAGCAAATAATCAATTGGTTTAACATTGATTCCGCAAGGAAAACACCATCGTCGGATTCCAGAAACTTTTAGCCATTTTTAAGATATATTGGTTATTAAACCATGCCGAAGGTGCAAGCTGTTAACTAATTATATGTTTATCATGTCTGCCTCTCAGCTTGAAAAGCATTCACCTATTTCTATGAACTGCTTTTGACTTGTCAATATGTACTTTATATTTTTAAAACATAAAATAAAACATTTTGATTCTTATTAATATGTTGTCAGGGTAGGCCCTGCTACAGTGGAAAAAACAATTGCTCAAGTGCAAAGAAATTTCAACAATGTATAATATTCAAAAGGAAAAAAATCAGTCCCCAGAATTGGACATAAATAACATTTTCCGTATTTTTAAAGTTTTTTAACAGTGGAATACTTGGCTTGCAGCAGAAATAATTTATAAATTTCAATCCATTCAGTAGAAAAATCATGCAGCCTAGTAAAAGAAGGAAACATGTATTCTCTTTAAATAACATGAATAAAAACCAATTAGGATATAAACTTAACTTCAGCAAGAACGCTTGATTCATTTGATTATAATTATGAAAAACATTTACTAAAAAAAACTAGTTGTATCCTAGCCCAACTAAACAAACAATCCAATATCAAAAGATCAAGTGTAAGAAATTTTTATGAACATGACCACTAGTGCCCACTAAACTATAAGAATAAAAAAGTTAGCCGTGTCAGAGTAATAATCTTTACCCAAATCCTGGAAAACAATTATAATGCTGGCTAATAACCTAGTAAACCCAAAAAAAAAAAAAAACAAAACATCAAAATTAAATCAAATATAAACGCATATAAAGAAATAATACTAGAAAATAAAGATATGTGTCATATATTAGATGGTATCAAATGTGCTTAAGTTTAATTATCAACTATAACTCTTACTTAGCTCAATAATATAGCATTCTCAGGCAGTGTTTAGCTGCAGACTGAATTTGTATTAAATAGGATTTATCAAATCCTGTGGCATATTACAGGAGTCCGCACGTAGTGTTGCGTACGTGCTCCGTATGTAATAATTTCTCCAGTTTCACGGGAATGAGCTCTCAAGCGACGACAGCAAGAAATTCTTAAATCCGTCTCATATTTGGATTTATTAAATCCGGATTTACGTCCTAAAACAGAGGGAAGAAAAGTCGGAACATGAAAATTTTTTATTTATTTGAATGTTGGATTTAAATTTGATTTTTTTTATGTTTGGCTGGATTTAAGCTAAATTCATGGCTAAATCTCCTTAAAATGATGCTACCAAACACCGCCTCACGTTTAGCCTAAGGCATCCAACAATCATAAGAAATTCAATCATCAATCACAATCTAAAATGTAATTGAAACTAACAGACCTCTGCATGAAGAAGAAATTCAAACCATTTTATAAACATACTCTCCATACCAAATTTCAAACATATTGGCCTATATCACCATAAAACAGATAGAAGGAACAAAATCTCAACCATGAAACATGCTTAAATTTTCAAAATAAACTGACAAAAGATTCCATTTTGTCCCAAACATAAACGGATCTAACGGCATGTTGCTAAATTTCCATAGTATATGAAGTTTTGGCGTAGATGTGAAAGGCCAAAAGCTCATTACCATCATCTTCTCCTTCTTCATAGGCATCTTTCTCCCAAGCTTTATTGAATAAATCATCAAACTGAACGGACAGCTTATCCTGCATCAAGAAAAAAAAATGAGACCAAAGAATGAAAAACAAAGTCTGGAAACTGATACTGCCATAACAGATGTGTGATACTTCAACTAAAACGGAGCAAAACATTACTTAAACAATATTAAAAAGTAACTTACAGGATTTTCCTCAAATGAAATGTCTGGTGAAGAGATTTGCACTCTCATGTGCTTCCAATGGCAAGGAAAACCCTTTACATTAAGAAAAAGATGCAATTTCATTGTCATGCTTTTGTAAAGAATCAAATTCAGACAAAGAAATAAAAATGAAAACCTTCAGATAGCCCAAGTCCGAACCCATTCTGAAACTCGGAGGCACAGACTGCGCAATGCCACCATCAAAGATCTCCCTAACCCATTCGCCATTTTGAGCTCCTTCTGGAAGAACCTGTCGTGATTGTGAATTATCCAAACCTCCCGGGCGGAAGGGTCTATTATTAATGCTCCCTCTAACAAAATCTTTTGCTGGTCCTGGCATGCGTGGCAAAATACTTGAATCTTGTGCTCCTTCCATTAACTCTACTACATCAATCTGGAAATTAGTAAAAAAATAAGAGAAATGTAAACCAAATAAAGCAAATCCGAAAGATAATTAGAAAAAATTTCATTTTAAGAATGTTTATGCTTGGGTCCACGTGAACATATACAAAACCAAGAGCACGGCTTACAATGGAATAATTTTCATTCTTATAACTCTGTAATGAACAAAACAAAAAACACACAAAATTCTAATGTATTTACATATCTAACATCTAGATTTTACTTTTAACATTGATTCCATCCAAATCTTTCATGTCACATAAAAAATACCACCATATTAACTTTTTAAAAGTGAAATACACCGTTTCATGCATAGGCAAGGCCGTACACATATAAAATTTGAAGTAAAGGTAATCTATATGTAAATACATGGGACTTAGTGGTGTGTATGCAATCTTCGTTCTTGCCAGAACAAAAATTTTGCAGTCATACAGCCGTGGAATTGATAGGCAACCATTAAGCCCTAATGCCTAAACATACATGCTAGTCAGAATATCATGCTGTCATTCTAGCCAAACAAATGTGTACTTCCGAAAGAACAAAAGAAATGGAAATAGGGCAATATGTGTACCTCAACTGACTTTGGATCCCACGGTTCTGGGTGATCCTCATTTTTTGAGCGCCTGAATGGCAGCTCCCAAGCAGGAGCAACAATAGAACGAGGGAGTGATGGTTCCAATGGAACTTTTGCCCTATCAAACCAATCAAATTCCCACATTCTACCAGCTTTCTCAGCAGAAAACTCCTCAGAATCCAACGCTGGGCACAGATAAGTATCCTCTAGATGTTTTTTAACGGTTTCTTTTGTTTCGGGAAGGAATGCAGGTGGCTGCAAAAGAAAGGAAAAGAATTGAATTGGTAAAAGCGACAACTCAAAATTACTTCGCAACTGATTGATGTCATACTTTCATAACTCATCACAAAAAAATAAACAATATACACAAAAAATGTGCCCATACTAATCCTAAAGACATCTAACGCTGCCTAAAGGTTAACTCGGCCGACCAAAAGCGATCTAGCCAACCGCAGGCAATCCCAACAAACCGAATGACTGCCAGCTATCGAAGGCAAGCCCAACCGACCGAATGGGTTTCGAGTGACAGGCTCCGACATGCAAAAAGACTAGAATACCCTGTAAAACCCCCTTTCAAGCAGAAAATAAACATAATTTTTATGTATAATCCTCCCATCCTCTATAAATAGGAGGGATCTTTCATGTATTAAGGGCACTTGAACCCCTCTCTTGTAACCTCCACTTTGAATGATATAAAAAAATGCCACAACAGTCTAGAAATACCCCAGTTTGCCCAAGACGGGCAAATCGCGGCGCAGTCGTATCTCTCCCTCTTATTCTAAGCTCTATTACTTGGGTGTGATTCACAGAACAAATTTAAATTCAAGATTTTGAAAGATGCAGCGAGTGTGGCAACACAAGAAGAAGAACCGAGGATTAATTTTGGTCGGGACAAGTCCCAATCGACACAAACAAAACGAACAAAAGTTTAGACGACCGCAAGGGTTGCCGACAGATTGAAGAGCAGCCAGCCAATCGACCGCCTGCTGGCTGCCAACCGAAGGCCTGCAGCCGATCGAAAGTCATCCAACCGACCAAATGGCTGCCAGCCCACTGAAGAACTGCCAGCCGAATGAAAGCCATCTAGCCGACTGAAGGGCTACCAACCGACCAAAGACATGTCAAACAACTAGAGTTCTTACGACTAAAAATTTAAACATCCCAAAGTCCACGAGCCGAAAAATCACATTTTTGTATCTTCCGAAAGCTTTAACTCGGAGGCAAAAACTATACTGCCGAAACGGACAGTTGGCTCCCAATGACCGAAGAGCCCCTCTAGCAGAAAGCCGATTGATAGCATCTCGCTAGCGCACAATTGACATCGGTTAACCGATGCTGACTCAACGATAAGAAGACGATATCATTTCAAATATTTTATTTTGTTTGAAAAATATATAAACTTTTCTAATTGTGCATTCCTAGATCCAACTGAGACACGTGGAACTCGAAGATTTCACACGCGTCTGCATTTAAGCCAACACTTGGGAAACTCAGACCCTAGTAAAATGAACAATAGCAATGCAAGAAGCTCGATCGACATTACAATAAAAATCAACCCTTAACACCAAACATAAAAAAAGCTCACGTCACTAACTCGATGCATATAAAACTCTGGAGGTGGCTCCCTGCCTAATAGCAACACTCCGCGAAGGATATGAAACAAATAATCACAGTAGCGAGTCTCGGCGATTACCCCCACAAGAGCAGCGACAAAATCTGCTTAAGAATTGATGAAAGATGCGGCTCAATCGAGGCTACAACCCGACGGAGAAAAATACAAGACTTGTACTATGCGATGATATATAAAAAAACAAAGATATTTCCAAAGATCTAAGTTATTAACCAACACCAACATTCATCGCCCGACAATTATCGCAAACAAATAGAACGGTAGAAATAAAATGCTAAAACAAAGATAAAAACAGTCGAAATCTTCTCTATTTCATATTCAAAAAAGTTACAAAGTATTTTTATGCATTGCTTACATGCAAAAGAACAAAATAAAAATGTTGTTAAAGTGACAGATGAAGCCGATCAAAGGTCATCAGACAATCTACGGTCAGCACAGCCGACCGATAGTCTACTTGACCAACCAAAACCCTACAAGCTGGATGACAGAATCTGGAGATGACCTCATAGCAGGCAAGACAGTGCAAAAAGACGTTGAAACCATGGAAGTATCATTAGTAATTCATTGATAAATATGATTAAATTTTTCTGTCATAAAAATTCTCTTATTATTATCGCAGTTTTGCCACCAATATGTAAAAAAATTTAATAACTTAATATGTGCACTAAAAATATGCTTATGTTAATCCTGAAGAGACCTAACAGTACCCAAAGGTTAAATCAGCTAACTGAAAACCATCAAATCGACCGAAGGCTGCCACCCGACCGAAGAGGTGTCAGACGACCGAAGGGCTGCCAACCGACCGAAAGCAAACCAAGCGACCAAAGGACTGTCTAGCAATAGACTTCGATATACAAGAAGGCTAGAACAGCTTGTAAAACCCCCTCTCAAGCATGGGCATGAATAATTTTTTTATGTACGGTCCTTCTATCTTCTATAAATAGGAGGGATCTTTCTTGTATTAGGGGCTCTTGGACCTCTTCTGGTGTAACATTTACTTTCAATTATATAAAAAAAATACAAGAATTTAAGAATACCCCAATTTCCCCCACAGGGAAAAATCGCAGCGCACTCTTCTCTCTCTCTCTTCCCCCCTTTCTCTCATGTTCTACAACATATTTTTTGGATGTGATTCACATGACCAATTTGGATTCAAAATTCTGAACGACATGTTAAACATGGATCATGCTACCAGCAAGAAGAGGAGCAGAATAAGGAAGAAATTGGGATCAAGTTTGGTAGGGTGTCAAGTCCCAATAAATACAGTCGGAATGACCAGAAGTCTGGACGACTGAAAGGCTTCTAGCCGACCGAATGTCTGTCCGCAGACCGAAAGGCATCCAGCCAACCAAATCCTTGTCAGCTAACTGAAGAGTTGCCAATAGAATGAAGAGCAACCAACCAACCAAAAGCCATCTAGCTAATGAAAGGGTTGTCAGTTGACCGAAGACCTACTAGACGACTAGAGTCCAAACGATCAGAAGTCTGAATGTCCCAAATTCTAGGAGCGAAAGAATCACACTTCAATCGTCTTCCGAGAGGATTCGGCCAGAAGGCGAAAACCACACCCCCAAAATGGACAGTCAGCTCCAAACGGCCAAAGAGCCCCTATAGGGGAAAGCTGACTGATAGCATCTTGCTAGCGCTCAATCAACATATGTTTACTGACGTCTAGCTCAACGATAAAAGGTGCTATCATTTCAAATATTTTATTTTGTTGAGAAATATATAATTATTTTTTATTTTGTTTGCCTCCCAGGAAACTCGAAGAGTTTACACGTCTACATTTAAGCCAACATCTAGAGACTCAGACCGGTGTAAAATGATCAACAATGACACAAGACATCCGACAGACATTAAATAAAAATATACCCTCAATGCTAAACATATAAAAGACCATGTCTCTAAACATGAAACCGATAAAACTCTGGAGGTGGTTCACTGTCCAGTACCGACAAGCTAATACGATGCAAATCACTCCAGTATAAAGTCTCGACGATTACCCCCACAAAGGCAACGGCAAGATCCGCTTAAGACCCGATGAAAGATGCGACATGACCAAGACGACAACCCGACTAGCATAAGAGAAAAAGGCGTTATAAGACTTGAACCTGGCAGTGACATATCAAAAAAAGACCAAAGATCTTTCCGAAGATCCGAGTTATCAACAAACATCAACATTCATCACCAAGCAATTATTGCAAACAAATAACGTGGTAGAGGTAAAATGCTAAAACAAATGTGAAAACAATCAAAACATTCACGCTATTTCACATTCAAAAAAGTTACAAAACATTTTTATGCCTTTTCTTACATGCAAAAACAATAAAATAAAAATGTTCTCAAAGTGATAAATGTGGCCGACCAAAAGTCAGACCACAGAAGGTCAGCATCATCAACCGAAGGTCAGCTCGTTCGATCCACAGGTTGTCACCAACCGAAAGTCGGAATAGTCGACCGATAGCCTTAGGAGAGCACCTCGAAGATAGAAGGCAGCGTAAAAAGACGCTGAACCCAAGGAAGTTCCATTAGTAATTCAATGATAAATATGATCTTTTTTTTTTGCTTTGAAAATTCTCTCATTCTTATCGCAATTTCGTCTCTAAGAAGTAAAATAATTGAGAAACTTAATAAACAAACAAAAAATGTATTTATGTTGATCCAGAAAAGATCTAAATATGTCGAAAGGTCAACCCAACCAACTGAAAGCACTCAAGCAGAACGAAGGGCTGCTAGTTGATCGAAGGTAGGCCAGGCAAGCCGAAGGGCTGCCAACCAACCGAAGGCCAGTTAGACGATCGAAAATCAGCCAGACAATCGAAATGCTGTTATCTAACAGAAAGGCTGCTTGCCGACCAAAGGTAAGCCCGACCAACCAAAGGGCTTCAGAGCGATAGGCTCTGTGTTATGGTATAGCTCATATACCATATAGGGACAGACGTTGGAACGAAGCGGAGCGGAGCGAAAGAATCTGTTCAAATCGGGAAGTTGCGTTATGTGAGTTGGGGGTGCGGAGGCAAAGCCCCGCGGTACGGTGCAGGGGTAATGTTATTACTACATACATATTGTACTTAGGGTTTACTTCTGAGATTATAAATAGGTCTGTTTGTAACCCCAGAAGGTATCCCTGAATTCTGTAATCTCTTTTCTGAATATCAATTAAGGAATCGCCGCTCTGCTCCCGAGGACGTAGGCATATTTGCCGAACCTCATTAAAATCTTGGTGTTCTTCTGGATTTGCGTCGATTTCTATATTTCTTCGCCATAAATTTTTCAACATTCTGAAATGCAAAAAAGACCAGAATACTTTATAAAACCTTCTCTCGAGCAGGGGAATAAATGTAATTTTGATGTACGGTCCTCCTATCTTCTATAAATTGGAGGGATCTTTCATGTATTAGGGGCTCTTCGACCCCTCTCTTGTAAACTCTATTTTCAATCATATAAAATGAGTCATAAGAGTCTGGGAATGCACTAGTTTGTCCAGAGGGGCAAGTCACTGCACACTCCTCTCACTCTCATGTTCTAAGCTTTGAGTGTGAATCACAGGAGAAATTTGAATCCAACACCAACAAACAAATCAACGATAACAAAAAAAATATAGTGCTGGAATCAGCAAGGGAAATGGGATGGCTATCACAACTCAGACTTGATAAAAAAAAGGGATATGATACCCTGGGCAGAGGACTTGCAGTAACACATAAGCCGACACCACAAACAAAATAAAAAAATAAAAGTTGAGATTATGAGAGAGAGTAGGGCATATTACCAGTATAAAATCAGGAAGGGATTTCAAAGGATGCGAGCCTTCAACTGGAGGAAGCGGCTCCATTCTAAGGTGCCCGCTGTGACCAGAGAACCCTATCTTAAAGGCGAGCTCGTTGCCCGCCGTGATCCGATCCATGACGCTGCTTCAGAAATCCCCAAAAGATGAGCACCTCCTTTTACTCCTCGAAAGCCCTAGTTTTCATTCTTAGGCGCTAAAGATCACATTCGAAAACCTGCATAAACCGACTCGTGTAGCGGAGTCACTCCCCGGAGCCCGATTCTTCCTCCCCGAGGCGAAAAGAAAGGACCGTCATTTGCTAAATACTATATACATTCAATTAATTTTTAATATATCTCTTGACAATGGTGTAAATGTGCCGCGAGGTCAGTGCTCCAAAAAAAAAAAAAAAAAAAAAAAAAAAAAAAAAAAAAAAAAAAAAAAAAAAAAAAAAAAAAAAAAAAAGCCGTTGTTTGCGGGGATAATTCGTATTCGGTTCGTCAATAAATTCGTGTTCGATTCGTTCGATGAGTAAATGAAACGAACGCGAACAAATTTTTTTTATTCGTTTAGTTAAACGAATCAAATACGAACAGTGATGCGTTCATTCGTGTTCGAATTGTTATTATTAAAAATATAAAATAAATTAAAATAATTATATATATATATATATATATAATTTGTGATATTTTAAAACATTAAATTTTATAAATTATAATATATAATAAATTAATAATAATAATATGTTAATATACTATAGTAGTAATATACTAATATAGATATTATATATTTATATAATATAAGTTATATAATAAACAGCTCGTGTTCGGCTTGTTCGTTAAGAAACAAACATGAACAATTTCGAACACGAGCTTATTTCAAACGAATCGAATACGAACACAAGCTCAGTTCGTTTACACCCCTAGCCAGAACTTATTCATATTCGACTAGTTCCTTTTTTTTTTTTTTTTGTTCAAAATGAGCCTTTGCTCTAGTTCGCTCAGTGAAGAAAAAAAATTAATTCGTGTTCGTCTCGATTCAAATTCAAATTAGCTTTTGTTTGGCTCAATTTTTTCATAAGTGAGTGGCTCAAATTCAAATTCGAGTCAAACTTATTTTTTTGAGTGACAAATCAGTAGAGCATGAACAAACAAAATTCCGTGTGCTCGACTTGTTTTATAAATCGAGCTCAAAATAAAATTTTGCGTGATACGAGCCGCTCACAGAGCTTTTCTCACAGCCCTATCCACAACTTATTTTAAAATTTACTTTGTTTGAATATAATTTCAAAATTGCAATTACAAAAATTAGTTTAATTTGACTCAACCTTTTATTATTTCATACTACATTAAACATTAACTAGTATAAGCCAACTATATTTTTTAGGATTAATAATTAATTATTAATTAATAAATTACTAAATTAGTTAAATAACAATTTATTTAGTCAGTAAATAAAATAATTGTAATTCTATTTTGTCAATATTTTTTTAAAATTTTAATTACGCTAGCAGATTGTAGTTTAATAGCATTAAAAATTATACTTACAGACCCACCACAAAATTCCTATTTATTTATAGAAATAACACATAAATTTTGATTTTTACATTTATATAAGTTTAACTATACTTGAAAAACGTATATTTTACATTTTAGAAGAGTAATTGTGGGTTTTTTATGTGACATAAATGATTTGAGTGTTATAAATATAATAATTAGGGGAATTTACCTACATACCACCAAATTATTATGTATTTGCATATCTGACACCTACTTGTTTAATTTTAACATTTATACCACCCCAATCTTTCATATCACATAAAAAATACCACTATTTTACCTTCTAAAAAGTGAAACAGATATTTTTTAAAGTTTAGGTGTTAGATATGTAAATACATCAGAATTGAGTGGTATGTATGTAAACTTTCTTAAAAATTAAAGTTCAAAGGTTAAATATGTAAATACAAAAAATTGAGTTCTGAGGATGTAAACCCTAAAAAATATAATTAAATATTTAGTTTATAACAAATACTTCTAGCTGCTCAACTAATAATCACATTATTGAAATTTTAATATTAAATTTATGATGATATTTTAAGGTAATTATATTTATAATGAAAGTATAAGTCACCAAAAGACTAAAAGCCAAAAAATTTTAATTAAAGAATAGTTTTTGTAATATAACTATTAATTACATTTCTAATAATTCTCATCTCGCTCTCCTTCCTGAAACTTTAGGAGAAAAGCAAAGTGAAAATTGTAGCAGGAGTGCTCGAATTAGTAGCACATTGATTACAATTAAAGCGAAGAATATCATTATGTCAGATTCGAGCGTTCACTCGTATATAAAATTAAAAAAAAAAACAAATTGTGATAAGAGCTTGTTAGCCAAATCAAGTGAATCACGCCTGTGTGTTTGCTTTCTCATCCTTCCGTTCTTAATCTAATACCCTCCAGGAAAAAGAAGTGAATCAAATTTGTATTGATTCAATAACTATATACTCGTTTGATTTCTCTGTATTCTCCTATCCTTTTTCTCTCTCTTTCTCTTTTGGCATGTTCGATTCCTTGAGGTGTGATTCATGGACAACTCAAGATTGAACACCTATATTAATAAATATGGGATTATTCCAAAACAAGATAAAACAAAATTTAAGATTTTGTAATATTTTAAGGCTCCCTTTGAAGGAGCTTCAGAGAACTGAATCGAGGATCTCCGTTCTGAAACGCTCCATTTTACGCTATTTTGGACTTTGTGGTGGACGTGAATCTTAGCGAGGGGTCTCCTCCAAATGACACTCGCTCCGTTTTTCGGCTTTCTGCGCATTGCGGCGGAGCCTTATTGCGCTCTCAAATGAAGCCTAAATGTCTATTTTCACACTTCGCTATAATTTATGCTAAATTTTGGTTCAATTCAGCAACCGAACAACGGCAACAAAAGTGCTAGTTTGTGAAACTATGAATGAACTTCCTTCTGGTTTGCAACTTCTCCTTTAGGACCCCATACGGGCTTGATTTGGTTAAGGGACAAGCCAATCAGTGTAAATTGAGCTGGCATAGCTCTCTATATGAGTTTCCAAATGTCAGTTTAAAGGTAAAGGGGCTATTTGGTTGTATTTAAAATGAGTGTAGGTACTTTGGCAGGTTTTAAATACATTATGAATGTCCACCATTGCCACCACCAATATCCAACCACCGTCAGCGACCCATTGTCGCCAATTTATTGACAATTACCCACCCTATTGTCATCGCCTTTATCGTTAGGCCTTATATTAAATTTATTTCGCTTTAAAATATACAAAAAATCATATCTCCTGTACCTTTTTTGATAGTCAATCAAAACAATTTAAAATATTTCAAATACACTTGATGTGTAGTAATTGTGATGTGATATTTCTTGTGTTTTATGTGTTATTTGTGTTATTTTTATGTTTTTTCAGGGTGTATTTGTTTGTTTATGCAGTACACATGTTCAAAGATAGCAAGGGTAAACAATGAAGAACAAATTCAAGCTAAGTGACAAACTAGTGCTTTGTCGCCCATGACTCTCGCTTAGGCACCTAAACCAATTCCCCTTTTCGCCAATATTACAGAGAAGCTGGAATGGTTGTGCTTGCCCAGACGCCTACACACTTAAACCCTTATATCTAGTGGTCCCATGAAAAACGAAGGAGGTGAAAAGTAAGTGCTCGGCCTTGGTGCCCAGACACCTATACTAGGAAACCTGATGCTTTAGCCTAATGCCTTCGTGCCTGAAGAGAAACTTCCTACACGATCTCAGACTCAGAGCACCCAGTGCACCAAGATGGTGTCTAGGCACCCAACTGCAACTTTCAGGCTCTCTAAATTTTATACACTCCTTCCTCTCTTAGAAGTCTCTCAAAATTCATAAAATATAATAACTCTCACCCTACAGGGTTTCTACCAAAGGAGGAAGAAGACATTGAGAAAACTCTCAAATTTCTCTCCAAAACTTGCATCTAGCCACCTCCAATGACTCTTGAATGCAAAAATCCCACCATGAAGCCCTAAAAATCTCTTTTAGATCAATATTCACAGCTTGAGACATCAAATTTCATTTATAAAGTGTTTTTCCACTCGTCAATGTGATCACACCCAAACCTAGCGTTGTCATGCCACTGGATTGCAGAGAGACGGCGTGTTCATGCCCGACAGCAGCGTGGTCACGCCACTAGTCTGCCCAACGTGGCGTGGTTACGCTAGATGTGTCGTGGTCACACCGCTCCGCTTCGATAAATGGTGTGGTCACAGCGCTTCAGGATACTTTTTCGCTTGATTTTCTAGTTTCAAATTATTAACCTTTGACTAACCTAACAATAAGCATTTATAGGAATTTTCATTTTAGAGGAACTATTGTGTTGAATCCAAAAGTGTCCAGAAAACACACCTAAGGTATAGAACATTGTGTGGAGAGAGTCAAGAGAGATTGTGTTGTAGAGAATCACAAGAATGGATCACCTTTATTCATATTATGAGCCCTCTATTTATAGGAATAGACCTAAGTCTTTCAAAATTATAGGCCAATCTCCTTATCATTAGCTTTTAGAGGGGTTTTTTTAGTAATTAGAATGGTATTTAAATACAATAAGGCTGGCGGATTGATGTCGGCCGTTCGTCTGACCTTAACTCTATCAATATTTATTCTGAAACTCAATAATCTACTGAGCAGCCTTAAGGTCGACTGTCATCAATGGAAAATCCTCTGACATGTCCTTATGATCGATCCATCCAAATGCCTCCCTTGCTAGCATTAATTAGTTGATCGCTAACAGGAATGTCGATCGATCGCAACATCCTTTCGAGCCATCCGTTCTACCTTGAGATCCGTACTGGCATATTTTTTATGCACATATTGCTATATTGTTCTTACAATAGAGAAAACATCATGGACATTGAGTACTCAATGTTAATGTTGCTTTGATTTGCAAATTTGTTATTGCACCTTATAAGAAGCTTTGATGTCTTATTTGAATGAGAAAGAGCATTAACTGAAAAAAAAAAATATACGATGATATTACTAAAGATGATAAAAATATAAAAGTCAACCATTTTAGTAACTCTAGTTAGTGCTTGCCTTAAGAAGAGTTAGAGATGGCTCTCGCTCTTGTAAATTTCTAAAATTCTTATGTAATTATCTATAAAATGAAAAAGTTTAATCCTTCTTACAACTACATAAATTACATAAATTTCTTCCTCCTAAATTTAAGATGAATTATTTTGCATCCTCCACTGATTATCTCATTACAAAATTTGATCACTCAATTTTCACATAATTGCAACGTATATTAAACTCATAAAACAATCAAACATAACTAATCCATAATACATCAAGTGTGAAAATCTCTAAATCTTCAGCAATTAGTGATCTCCACCATTCTCTTAGTTTCATTCGGCTAATCCAAATAATTTTCTATACAATTGAAAAGCCAGAAATGTTATTTACATTAAAAGCCAAGCATCTGTAATCTAATACGCACGCACACAAACACTGGCACATATCCCACCCATTTCAATTTACTAGAAAAAGAGAAAACGAACACTAAAAAAAGACAACCTAATTCCAATGTATTTAATTTTATTTTTTACATTTATACCACCCAAATCTTTCATATCATATACAAAAACCACCCACCGTTTCAACGTCAGAAAGTGAAATACAACTTTGCATGCAGGGGTAAGGTGGTATGTATGTAAAAATTGAAGTTTGGGTGATAGATATGTAGATAGATAAGAATTGAGTGGTATGTATGTAAATCTTCCAAATTTAAAAGAAAACTTGCTCTGCAGTTGCGTAGCGATTCCAAAAGATGGTGGCGATGAAATAGATAATTGATGTAAGTGTGAGGAAAGCTTGGAAAGATCCCAACCATTCCACAAAATAACCAGCACCTATGGTGCTGACTATGGCAGCCAGTGTGCCAGCTGCGTTTGTGATCCCTTCAAAATAATAATAATAAATAAATAAATAAATAAAAATTAAATTAATAGCCTCATCTTCAAAGATAATATAAGATTATAGGAATCTATTATGCATACCATGTAGGAATCCAGCGCAGTTGGGTGCTATGTCCTGGAAAATTATAGAATTGGAGCTGAGAAATTTCTCAAAACCAGATAATTTTTCTCCAGCAAGGAGAAAGTTAAAATGGAATTTACATACATACCACAAAATTCTTATGTATTTACATATCTAACACCCAAACTTTAATGTTTATAAATCTTTAAAATGGCATTAAAATATCAATATCATCTGCTTTTAAAGTAAAATATACATCTTCATGCATGGGTTTATCACTCAAATGGTTAGAAATGTAAAGATCAAAGTGTATGGGGTTTAGATATGTAAATATAAAAGAATTGTGCGTGGCGAGTATGTAAAACTTCCTGAGTTAAAACATACCTGCATGTTGAGAAGGAAGCCAGCCTGACTGAAGGAACTGAAGCTTAGGGATATGGTCATGAGAACTGCGGCCACAGTAGGACTTTGAGCGTATTTTAAGCAGAGTAAGGCAACTCCTGGACCTATGAAGCCAATCGACTGCACAATGACAATATAACCAGGGATATATTATTCAAATAAAATTTAATTAATTATATGTATTATAATTAATTTAATACTCATATGTATAATTTATAATTTAATAAAACAATAACCAGGGATGTACTAATATTTATAATTTAATACTTATATGTATTATAATTATATATATATATATACACTTTTTATTTTTTATTGTGAAAAAGTTTATTTGCAGTTTATTACTATCTTATTTAATTGTAAAAACTAGCTAGATAACAATTTAAAATTTATTTAACTATTTATTTATTTAAATTTACAAATTCATTTGTTAGGTATGGCTCATATATCATAAAAGGGACAAATGCTGGAACGAACTAGAGCGAAGCGGAAGAATCTGTCCAATCGGGAGAGTTTCGTTATGTGGGTTGGGGGTGCGGGTGAAACGCCCCGCGGTATGGTACAAGAGTAATTTTAAAATTACATATTGAACTTCTGGGTTTATATAGGGTTATATATAGGCATGTTTGTAACCCTAGGATATTCTATGTTATATTTTGTATCCTGTATTTATTTTTTGAAGTTGAAAGAAAGCCGCCGCTCTGCTTCTGAGAATGTGGACATCTTTGTCGAACCTCGTTAAATCTTTGTGTGTTTTTCTGAATTTGTGTAGATTCTTGTTTTTATTCGCCCTAAATTTCTGAACAAGTGGTATCAAAGCGAGGTTTTAGGGCAGGAATGAAAATTTTCGACTCAGGAAGAACAAATTTCGAAGATTCGGCAGCTAGTCTTCAGGGAGTTCGATGACTGCGACAATTCAGAGAAAAGTTCGGAGAAGGATTTCGGAGAGGTTTGCGGCAGTTCAGATTCGCTGCAGAGGAGTTCGAATGCAAAGGTTCGGCGACGAAAGCTTCGGAGTCTTTCTGGCTTCGGTGAATTCGGCCGAGGTAAGGGTTCGCGGCAAGCTAGGTTCTGAGCAGTCGGAGATCCCAAAGGAGCGGTTCTGAATCGCTCGCGGCAGAACAGGCAAAGCTTCGTGCGAGCTTCTTTCGCGACAGGAGGTTCGTGACGATGCGGTGACGTCGACAGAAGGGATTCGGCAAGGGCGAGGAGCTCACGGTTGTTCAGCACTCAGGCGGCAGAGCGCGCGCAAGCAGGGAAGGGGATATTCCTTTCAGAAAATTGTCGCGAAAAAGGAAATTCATGTTGCTGCACGCGGACAAAAGATAAAGATGAAAAGGAAATTCCTGTGACGCCAAAAAGGAAATATCAAGAAAGAAATTTTTTTTAAAATTATTTTTCTGAGAAATTTAGTTAAGAGAATATTTTAATCTTTTTTTTGAAAAATTACGTTATTTTTCTGAAAAACTAAATTAAAAAAATATTGGATTAAGGGAAACTTAATTAAAGATTAAGGAAATATTTTAATCATTTTTCAGAAAAATTTTGTTGCTTTCAAGGAAATTTAATTAAGAGAAATATTTAATTAAAAAAACTTAATTAAGGAAATATTTCAATTCTTTTTTTTTTTAAGATTTTGTTGCTTCTCTGGGAAACATAAATTTGCAGAAGAGTTTGCTGTATGATCAATTTCAAGTGACAATTTCTGGTGCAAAATTTGACGTAGTGAAGTTCGATGGAACTAGTAACTTCGGATTGTGACAAACAAGGGTAAAAGATCTGTTGACGCAATAGAGAATCTTGAAAGTTTTGCGGGCAACGAAACCAAATGTCATGAAAAATGAAGATTGGGAAGAATTGCAACAATGAGCGACAACAACAATACGTTTGTGTATCGACAGATGATGTTATGTATCACGTGATGAATCTAAAATCTTCAGAGGAGCTATGAAAGAAATTGAAAACTCAGATTATGTCTAAATCTCTGACGAATAAATTTTATCTGAAGTAAAAAATGTAAGGTTGGAGATGAAAGAAGGTTCTGATTTAGCGCAGCATGTTAATGATTTCAATGAAATAATCATGAATTTATCACGGTTTGATGTGAGCATTGAGGATGAAGACCGAGCAATGATTCTGTTGTGTTCACTCTCTTATCACAAAACACCTAACAGAGAGTAGTTTACTTCATATATGTTAACTAATTCTGGTTCAGTCTATTTAGGTGATGATAGATGCTGCAATATTGTTGGTATTAGTGAAGTCAAAATTAAGATGTATGATGACACTTTTTGAACATTATATGATGTCAGACATATTTCATATCTGAAGAAGAATTTGATTTCCGTTACCACTTTACATAAAAATGAATTTAATCTTAAGACAGATGAGGAGAAAGAAACCATCAAAATTATTAAGGGTGCACTGACTGTGATGAAAAGAAATTTAACTGCAGGTAATATCTACAAACTAATAGAAAGTACAGTTGTAGGTAGAGTTCATTCTGTGGAGTCAGATGATAATAATACAAAGCTATGACATATGCGACCGGGTCATCTTAGTGAACGTGGGATGGCGAAATTGCATAGAAAAAACTTGTTGCATGATGTTAATAGTTGTAAGCTTGATCTTTGTAAGTTCTATGTTCTTGAAAAACATACTAGAGTCGGTTTTATGACTGGAAAACACAAAATTGAAGGAATTCTTGATTATGTGAATTATGATGTATGGGGCCCTTCCAGGAATCATCATTGGGAGGATTTAAGAATTTAGTTACATTTATTTTCTCTAGAAAAGTTTGGATGTATTTCTTGAAGTAGAAATCTAAAGCTTTCTCCAAATTCAAGCTGTGGAAAGCCGAGGCAGAAAACCAAACTGGCAGAAAGATTAAGTATTTGAGATCTAATAATAGCATAAAATACACAGAATCGCAGTTTCAGAAGTTCCGTGAGGAGCATAGGATTTAAAGACATTTTTTCGGTGCGTAAAACATCACAGCAGAATGGTATGGCAGAAATGATGAACATGTCCTTAACTAAAAGAGCAAGATGAGTGAGACGAAAAGCAAGACTTCCTAAGAGTTTTAGGGCAGAGACTGTGAATATGACATGTTATCTCATCAATAGATCACCTCGGGCATCGTTAGGTGACAAAGTTGCAGAAGAGGTATGGAAAAGCAATCCAGTTAATTTCGATCAATTAAGAATTTTTAGTTGTACTGCTTATGTACATGTACCTGGAGATGAAATATTAAAATTTGATGCAAAATCCAAAAAGTGCATCTTTCTGGACTACAAGAAAAGTATGAAAGAATGTAAGATTTGGGATCTGATTGCAAAGAAGATGGTAATCAGCAGAGATGTAGATTTTAATAAACAGTCTATGTTGCAACATAATCAAGATAAGGTGCAAGGGAACAGTTCCAGTTCAAATGCAGTGCAGATAAATTTAGAACAGCATCCAGAAACAACTGAGAGAGTTGAAGGTTCAAATCCAACACATGGTGATTCCAATCCAGATGATCTGCAGAATTATAATCTAGCCAGAGAAAGACAAAGACGCACCAATACAAGGCCTCCTAGCAGATTGGGCTATGAAGTCTTGGTCTCTTGTGCACTTCTCATCAGCAGCGATGATCCTTCACTTGTGGGGTGCATTGATTCAGACTATGCAGGTGATTTGGATGATAGAATGTCCACAATTTGACATGTGTTTACTCTTGGTGGAGGACCTATATGTTGAAAATCAACAATTCAATCTATTGTGACATTATCTAATCTATTGTATTCAATCTATTGTGACATTATCTACAACTGAAGTTGAGTATATGACAGTAGTTGAAACTGCGAAAGAAGTCTTATGGATTGTTGGGCTGATAAAGGAACTGGGCGTTGAGCAAAGTGGAGTTCAGTTGTATTGTGACAGTTAGAGTGTTATTTATTTGGCTAAGAACCATGTGTACCATGCGAGAACAACACATTGATGTCATGTATCACAAGATCAGAGAATTGAATGTTTCTGGGGAGATACTGTTGCAGAAGGTTCATACTGATGAAAATGCAGCTGATATGTTGATCAAGTCAGTTAATATCAACAAGTTTTTGCATTTCTTCGACTTGTTGAATGTTTGCAGTTGCTACAGAAGCATGGTGGCCCAACCCACTTTCAGTGTATAAAAAATTCCATGATGTATTTCTCCTAAGGGACTGGATATTCGCCAAGGTGAAGATTTGTTTTGTATGGCTCACATACCATATAAGAGACAGATGTTGGAGTGGAACGGAGCGAGAAGCGGAGCAGAGCGGAAGAATCTGTCCAAATCGGGAGAGTTTCGTTCTGTGGGTTGGGGGTGCAAGAGAAACGCCCTGCGGTACGGTACATGGGTAATTTGGGAATTACATATTGTACTTCAGGGTTTTATCTAGGGTTATATATAGGTTTGTTTGTAACTCTAGGCTATTATATGTTGTATTTTATATCCTGTACTTTTTTTCTGGAGTTGAAAGAAAGTCGCCGCTCTACTCCCGAGGACGTAGGCATCTTTGTTGAACCTCATTAAATCTTTGTGTGTTATTCTGGATATGTGTCGATTCTTATTTTTCTTCGCCCTAAATTTCTCAACATCATTTATCAATAATTTTGAATCCCAATAAATAATCACTAAAATATATCCAAGATTAAACTCTCACTCTCTCCCCTTCAGAATTGATAGCAAGCTCTTCATAATTTCCACAGATAATATTTGAATCGAACACAAATTACGAATACTAATTAGTCAAAATAACATAAAATCAATGAGCATTAACATACGTACCACTCCATTCTTAAGCATTTACATATCTAATAGCTAAATTTTAATTTTACATTTATAAGACCTGAATATTTCATATCACGTCAAAAAATACCACCATATAACTTTTAAAGAGATTAAATACACATTTCCATGCATAATAAGGTGGTACTAAAGTAAAAAATTGCAAGTTTAGGTGTTAGATATGTAAATATTAAATAAATAAGAAGTTAATGGTATGTATGTAAATATTCCAAAAATCAATAGCCACTAATCTGCTAATCAAACAGTGCTAAATAAACCTATTACCTGCATTATCTTTCTAACACGCGTAACAGATTGACCAGACTTGATTAAGAAGTCAGAGGCGGCGCCCGCCAAGTAGCCGGAGATGGCCATCACTCCCCATGGAAGAGCACTGAACCAAGCAGCTTGTTTTAGATTCACATCATAAACCTATACCAGTACCCCCATGAACAAGAAAACAACATTATTAGGCGCTGAGAATCAAAGAGAAAAAAAAAAAAAATTCAATTCCCCATCTGCAGAATAAGAGTCCTTACAGTCTTGAAGTATACCGGCATCCATGAAAGCAGCACAAAGTATCCCTGCGATTAAATTGTTTCCATCAGAGTTTGAATCACCTTATAATTTCTCTCAGAGAGGCGGAGAGAGAGAGAGAGAGAAGCATACCCAGTTGTTAGCAACGTTGGCCAGAATGATCGCCCAGGTGGGCAGCTTCGACAGCAAAAACCCTACCGGCGGAAACTCACGCCTACCGCCTTCTTCACAGCAACCCTTCCCCTTCCCCTTCCCCTTCTCGATCAGCCTCAACTCCTCAATCGAAATCACCTCACTCTCCCTCGGATCATTCGCAACTCCCGCCGCCCACATCGAAAGCCACAAAAACCCCATCAGCCCAAAAACCCCAAACGAACCACTGATCCCCACCGTGGCCGCCAACACGGGCGTCGCCAGAAAACCCATAACGTTGCCGAGATGAAATCCAGCCATAGAGATCCCCACCGCGCTCGCTCGCTCGTGCAGCGGAAACCATTTGGATAGCAGAGTGTTCATGGATGGCAGGGCGACACCCTCTGCCAATCCGAAGAGGGTGCGCGTGGCTAGCAGGAGTGCGGTTGAGTGATTCGCAGCGTATGGAGTTAGGAGAGTTGCTAAAGACCAGATCGCGGCGCCGAAAGCCATTACTGTCTTCCCGCCGTATCTGTCGGCGAGGATGCCGCCGGCGAGTGAGGATACGAGGTAACCCCATAGGAATGATGACTGCGATGGACGATGGTATCAAGCTGCGGGTATTAGCTTTACCTAACTATTAAAGAGTTTCCTTCGAAAAAAATAATTAAAATAAAAAATGGGGGGAAATTTACATACATACCACGAAATTATTATGTATTTATCTTAGCATTTAAACTTTTATATTTATAATAATTTATTGTGTGGTAGAAGATTCGCGGCGGTAGAGTAACAAATTATTGTCTTAGCATTATACAAGAATTCAACACACGCTCAAATAAAAGAAAGAGTCAGAAGTGAAATGAGAAGTTTTTACGTGAAAATCCTGAAAAGTGAAAGAACTACGGGATCTGACCCAATTAAATAGATCCACTATAAACTGAAGAATACAAGTACAATTATTTATCTCACAGCGAGCTACAAAGTTCATGCACGAATGAATTTATTATTAGAAGTGATCACGATATCATTGTATTTAAGAAAGTAATTGTCGTAAGAAGGGAGCTGCAAAAAAAAATATATTTAAGAAAGGTTTTATTGAAATTTGTGAGTTTAAAATCATGATAAATGAAAGGGTTGATTAGTGAGATTAGAGACTTGGCTAATTAACAAGTTACAATTTTTATTTTTTTGATAAATTAATTTACTAATTTATAAATAAGAATATAGTGCTTATCAATTCTCTTAAAAAGAAAATTATATAAATATTGTTGGATCATAATTTGTTCTTTGTGAATCACACCCCAATAGTTAAAGTCGGATGAAGGAGAGAAGAAGGAGAGAGAGTATATTAAGTTTGTAATTCACAATTGCAAGAGTCTAATGAAAGGTCATTTTAATTGTATTTTTGTCCCTTATTTATAGAAATGTAATATCATTAAAGTGCTAATTATATGAATGAATTTCATGTCATATTTACATTATAATTTAAATTTTAATTATAGTGGTAATCGGCTGGTCAACTAGCTTCACGTCGGGTGACTGAGATGACTGGGCGAGTGATGATTGTGCCCTCCGTCGTACATGTCGATCGGGTCCTCGACCGCTTGGCGATCTAAATTGTCGTGGATCGGTCTGCCTGCTGCAGTTGGGCGTTGTTATGTGCGTCCAGGTCGGTCGAGACCGTAGGCGTGGTCCCCCGTTAGAGTCGAGACAGCGGGGGATCGCTCGAATCTTCCCTGCTCGGACGGTGGCAGGGTTGTAGGATGCTCTGCTTGCCTGACCTCCATTTGAGTTGTCTAATGGCTTCCACTGATATTTTTGGTGCATACATGTATCATATGATCCTTAAATATTACATAAATTATTGTATGATAAGATATACTTCCATATGATTTAAAATTGGGGTGTTTTCATAAATGATTTTAAAATTTTAAAAGTCATATTTATAAAAATATTTTATGTTGTGCATCTAAACAAAATATCTATATAACACACACACACACATGTATGACATCTTATTTAGGGTCTATTTGGGGTAGCTGTAGCTTATCCAACTTATGTTTCAAAGCAGTTTATCTTGATAATCTGCTGATGACCAGCTAATCCGGATAAGCTGTCTGGTTGTTTGGTTTGTGCATTTGAAAAACAATTGATTCTGGATAAATGACCAATCTGCCTCTGTTCTCGATAAGCTGTTTAGCTGTTTAATTTGTGCATTTTATGAATAACTGATTTGTAGATTTTTTTTGTTAAATGAAAAAGATTGCATGCAAAACCACAAAAGTATGTCTATAAATTTCTCAACTAATTCAATATAAATGTTATAAAATCATATAGAAGTCTGTTAAATAAATTCGGGTATCGACGGAGCGGGATCCACGCAAGAGTTCGAAGAAAGGTTAGGGAGGTCGCAGATTGTTTTGCGAGGGCAAACACGTAAAAGTTTGGAGGCCGAATGCGGATCGCGGGGATACACTCGCGGTCCGCGTGTAATACAAAATAGAAAACTCCGTTTCGCGAAACTCAGCTTAAACGTTATAAGCAAATAGTGAGGCGGCGTTTTCAAGCTACCCCAAATGGGGCCTTATGCATCAAAAGATGTATTCAACTTTAGGAATTAAAATATTGATATTTATTATATGATATAAAAAAATTTGAGTGGTATAAATATACAATTCAAAGTTTAGGTGTGGGATATGTGAGTATAGGTGGTATGTATGTAAATACCTAAAAAGTAAAATACACATTGATAGGATTAATTATGCTAAAATATTATAAATATAAATCTCAAACTTTAATTATTAGCTATATAAATACATAAGAATAAGAATTGTGTGATATGCATGTAAGTTTGCCTATAATATATTGGTATTAGATACATAAATATATAATCGTTTTGTGGTAAAATTTCCCTAAAACACAAAGTTGGTGAGCCGCGTTCCACCAATTTCTATATCCAAACCAACATTCGCACTTTCAGACAGAAGAAAACAAAAAAAAGAAAAGGAAGACGAACCTGGACGATACCGAGAAATGAGCTCGACCAGCCATACTGAGCAGCGAGGGGGACGGCGGCGACGGACATTACCACCCTATCGGCGTTGCAGAGAGACATCACAAAGGCCACCATCGCCACCACTTTCATCCTCACCGGAATCCCCAATCCCTCTTCAGCTTCTTCTCTCGCCATGCCATTTCCGATTCTCTCCAATCCGGCGCTATTTCGCGCGATTCTATCGGTTCTGCTTCGATCGCTTGCCCGATTTCTTATAGGTCGAAATCCGATGCTTCGGGTATCAATGAGAGAAGTTAGCTTCACCGCATTGATCGATCTGGATCGGAGAGGAATGGTTGTGAAGCGGATGGATTGGGAAGGGATGAGGCGGGAGAAGGCATTAGAGCGAGGAATGGAGAACGAAGGAGGGGAGGGAGATGCCGACGCCATGGCGGAGAGAGAGAATCGGATCGAAGCGATGCCTCGGTCTTAATGGCGAGTTTGTTGCTGGAGTTTTGCGCGGATTTACATTTATATGACCTACCTAATTAAATTGGGCGGGGGTAGTTGGTAATTATTTTAAGGCAGAATTTGGGTCAGAGGTCTCTCATCGATTCTTGATCATGTAGACGTCCGGACAATCAATCACCGACCACTACATCATTTATCAATAAGATACATGATGATATGACTCCCCGTAATTGATCATCCGGATGTGCGATATTCGAACGGAGTATTTTATATTATTTTAAATTGATTTTTAAAATATTTGAATTTAAGAATAATAAATAATATTTATGTTACCTCAAATTAAGATTAAGAGTTTTAAAAATTGTATAAAAATTACAATAGCTCGTTATAAATTTTGTCATAATAGACTTTAAAATTATCGACATTATTTTGAAATTAATTAAATTATATAGTAATAGTTATAAAATGAATTTAATAATTTTTAAAACATGTTTGATTTATGTTACCTTGGCACATTTTTGTCCCACTAATTTGACCAAATTTTAAAAAGAATATCAATTGCGTTAGCTTAGATCATCTGATTTTCGGGTGGACCCCGCTGCAATCACCAACCCCTCTAGTTTTACCTACCTGCTTCCGTTCGCTTTATTATAATAAATTAATAATTAATAGATGAGAAAAAAAACTACAAAATTACTACATAATTCTTATTTATTGGCATATTTGACACATAAAATTTTAGTATTTATATTTGTTAACACATTAATTTCATAAACAAATATATATATATATATATTACAGTTTTGAGAAATTAATAGTGATGTTTTTAATGTAATGTTAAAGAGTCAACTACTGTGAATGTCGAATTGGAAAAATAAAAGTGATGCATATGTAACTATATATAAATTATATAGTTTGTAGGGCTGTAAAAAAAACTCGTTGTTCGTGAATAGTTTGTGTTCGGTTCGTCAATGAGTTCGTGTTCGATTCGTTCGATAAGTAAACGAGACGAACGTGAACATATTTTTTTCGTTCGGTTAGCTAAACTAACCAAACACGAACAGTGATCATGTTTGAATCGTTATTGTTCGAAATATAAAATAATTTAAAAT